AATCAGTCTTTCCCAGGACCCACATTCGAGGGAAATAGGCATAAAGCTACTGGCAACTTTTCAGCAAACATTATCACACACGTGTGGGTTATTTTCTGTTTTATGAATGGATGATGTGGTTACCAAGATTACACTGCATTATAAAATAGGGCCCACCTAAATTCTCTAATTATCACTGACTTTAATAAAGGCCCCTCAGCCAGTGCTTATTGAATTGTGTGTGAGAGGACACCTGAGAAAAGGAGAAAAACTTCAATCAGACTGATGGCAAAGTTGAACCAAAACTCCTAGGCGTGAGTGAGGGTTATCTGTGCTGCTTTGTGACAATGGCAAATGGGTGAAGTTTCATGTTCATTTACCTTGAACTAAAGGCCTCCAAGAGATGAGAGAGACAAGCACTTCCCAGATACCTGATCCCTAGTCCTGCTTGGTGCCCAGCTTCCTTTTGTTTAACCAGAGATCACTTGGATGACAGACCAAAGGATGACAGAGCAGAATCCCACTCCCCACATGTAATCAGTAGCTGGGTTCTGTGGAGTCTACCTCACAAACATCTCGAGCATTTGTCTCCTTTTCTCCATGGCCACTATCATGGCCACCATCATTTATACCATCTTCACTGTCATTTGAATGGTTATATTCTCTCTAAGTGGTTTTTCTGCTGCAAACTTACTCCACTGTAGCCAGGAATTCCCATGCAGCTGGAATGACTGTGCTCTAAACAAAACACTCACTAAGTTACTCCTTCACTTAAAACCTTCCAGTGGTTTCCTTTGTCCTAGGATGAGTAATAAATAGCCGACAATAACTGGGTGCATATTCTGCATCAGGTAGTACATGGCTTATCTCAATTCTTGCAGCAACCCAATGAGGGAGGTACAACCTTCATTACCATTACATGTTGAGGCCAAATTACTTGACCAAGATTCCACTGCTAGAAAATGGACAAGCCATGACTCAAATCTGGGTCCATCACACCTTTGAGTACATAGTTTAACCACCAGGCTATCTATACGATGTCAAGCAGGTTCCGTGACCTGGCCTGCCCACCATTCCAGCCTTATCTCTCAATGAGTCCCTCTTTGTGCCTTATACTTGAGCTCTTTGAGCCACTTGAAGGTCCTGGACGTTCTGCCTCTGCTTTTTTGTTTGTTTTGTTTTGTTTTTCACACTAATCCTTCTTCTATAATGCCCTCTCCACTTTACCTATCTTGTGGAATGTCTTGCATTCCAAGATTCAACTTAAACGTTAACTCTTCTAGGACACTTTCCTCAGCTTCTCCTTTTCTTGGTAGAATTGACCACTCCCTTACCTGGGCATCACTGGATCCTAATCATAGCAACCACACTTTTCTACCTTGTATGGATAAGTATGACTCCCTTCTCTTAGACTTCTACAAATTCCTTAAATGTTGGGACTGTGTCTTACTAACCCATTTTATCCATAACATCTAACACAGTGCTGGGCATTAGAAGATTTACTGTAAATAGTGTTGAATAAATGAAAATATTTATTTAGTCATAGAATATGTTGCTTGCCAGAGCACCCCATTGTGAGCTTTAGGTTACTTTTACTTACAGCATCAATGCAATCAGGTTTTTTTTTTCCATAAGGACTGTATATGAAACTCTGAAGAGGTATGTAAAGCTTTAGAGGTGGAGAAAAGGTATCATAGTCTACCCACCACACCTGGTTTCACCTGGGAAAGTACTCAGTGACAACAATAAACTGTCACTGCACAAATTGAATTGGGTATGGCAATTACATACATATCTTCCTAAGCAATGAGAATATGAATGATTCATATTTGAACTACAATGCACATATTTTGTTGTGCACAATAACAAACTGATAAGAATCAAATTAATTTAAACATTTAATTTGAAAGCAAGAATAACAGTAATGGAAAACCATGACCAACTCAAGATGGGACAAATGGTGCTGTGATGACAAAGCATCCTTTTCCCAAATTCCAGAAATGCCAACTCTACGAGTGTACACATGCCGTATGGAAAATGCCGCGCAGAAAACAGACTTCTTGACTCTACGAAGCCAAATGCTAAGTGGTACATTCTGATCCTATCTGAAAACCAGATACATCCTCAACATTCCCACCTACCCTTGAATAGCAGCTCAAGGCAATCCTCTTTGAGAAAGCCTTCCTTGGTTGTGCAGTGTAGTCTGTGTACACCCTCAAAGAATTTTATTTCTTTCCTTTAGAAAGATTATTTTAGTTTGTAATTATTACATTTTCTTTTTAGTCCTTACCTGGGGATATGTTTATCGATTTTAGAGAGAGACAAAGGGGGAGAGAGAAAGAGAGAAACATCCATTGGTGCCTCCTCTTCACTCTCCAACTGGGGAACAAACCTGCAACCGTTTGATGTATGGGATGATGCATTTTCAATAGTTATTTTACTAACGGTTGCCTCCCCAGACATCTGTAAGCTTCAGGAGATTAGGGACATTGCCTGGTTCCATTCACCATTTCCCACCCAGCAACTGGCACATAGCCAGACACTCCATGAACATTTTGAATGAATGAATGGTGAGTGACTCTTTGTCTCTTACTCATTTCCCCATTCTCCTAATTACACCTGATTTCTTACCAGACCCAAGCTGATACTCAATCCATTCCTTTTTGTTGTTTCTCTACCCTATCGCAAGGATCAGTCTTTATTGTCTAATCTTCTCCCCTCCTAACCCCCCAGTTCAAAGGCTTCTTAGAAGTGGCAACTTCTAGCCTACCTGCATACTTGACATGTTTTGGATCCAGGTCAAGGTTATGCAATATGAAAAAATAAAAAATATATAAAAATAAAGGAAAATGTAGTGACTGGAGTAACCATTAGGTTATTTTAGACACTCTACACAACTCCTAAAAATCTTTTAATTCAGTAAAAATAATCTAAACAATTTGTATTTTACCATGTAGATAAAATGGATTTATTGGCTGATTTTTTTTCTACTTTTCAGTATGTTTTGGTGTTGCATTGGAAAAGAGTTGATTGCGCTGTTTGCAAGCAGTAAGCCACATACGTGGTCTCTGATCTCGAAGGTTGTTTCTGAATGACGGGCCCCAGCGCCCCAGGATTCTTCTCCACTCAGGGGTCTCGGCCTGCTCCTACTTCCTCCACAGCTCCTCCCCGCGCCCTCACAAATATAAAGCCTCCGGCCTCTGAGTCCTTACAAAGGAAAAGAGCCATGCAACTCTGCTTCGTCCCGGGGGAAGGGGGAGAGGATGGGGGAAAGGAGTAACTGGGGGAGTTCTGCTTTCAGGAATTGGAGCTAGCTAAGTGTTAACTTCTGGAAATTTAGAGCATTTTGGAAAATATCCTTTATTGATTCCCCTCACTACCAGCCTCTACTTAAATTGCACTTGCGGAGTCCAGTTTAAGGGAAAGAACAGCTGGACAGACTGCACAGGCAGGACGGACTCCTCTCCAGTGCCGCTTTCCTGGAGTCGCCGGGAGAGTGAAGGCAAACAAATGAAACGTCCTCTCCGTAGTGGGCTCCCTACCCGAAGGGCCCCCGCAGTGAAAGACTCCGAAGACGGCAGGGGTGATGCCGGCCGGGAGCACGGAGACGAGGGGGCGCCCTGGGTAGTGGGGTGACGTCATTTTCTCCCGGCGCTGCCACTGGGCGGGAGGTGGGATACAGAATTAAAAGGAGGGGACAGAACAAGGAGAGTAGAATACAGAAGATGGTGAAAAACCAAGGAAGGTATAAATAAACAAATGCTGGTATAGGCATTACTCTAGAAGATAAACTTCTGTATTGCTTGACTGTTTAAAACTATGCTGCGTGTGTTATTTATTGAAACTATAATTTTAAAATAGTGTAGAAAATAATAAAATACTCCATCAACCTGGTACTTTTTTTTTTGTTTTAATCCCCAAGGAATATGGTGCCGCCAGGCGCGGTCCCCAAGGTCCTTAGGTCCTCCAAGCTGGAGGCTTGGGCAAGGACGCCGCGCGTACACTCAGAAACCGCCCGTCCCCTCGTTTCCACACGCGGAGAGGGTGTTCTTCGTGACCGTGCTACCTGCAGGCCGAAGAAACGAGGCACCGACCCAAGACACTGCCCACAGCCCGACCCGGCGCGCACTCGCGTCCGTCCACGAGAGCGCCCGCTTCTCGGGGAAACCGAGCCGTCCGATCCTGAGCCCGAGCAGCCTCCGGTCTCGCAACGCGACTTGCCCCGTGGCCGGCGCCCCGCGTTCCCAGGCCGAGCCGCTCCGGCCCGCGGCCCGCAGCCCCGACACTGCCCCTCCCGCACGAGACGCGTCTGCCGCCCTCCCCGCGGCCCCCGGTCCTACCTGGAGCCCCGGCCCCGGCTCCCTCACCCGGGGCAGCGCCGGCTGGTCTGCCGCGGGTCTCCACGAGGACGGGCTCCCAGCTGAGCCAGGACGGCCCGCGGGCCTCCCTCGGGGCTCCAAGGTCAGGGTCCCGCAGAGGCCCGCGCCCTCGGGTTTGGCCAAAACAGCCCCCGCGTACCCTCCGGGCGGCGGCCGCCGCCCCGGCCTCCGAGCTCCGCCCCCGTCTCGCTCCCGGCCCGCCTGCCCCCTCGGGTCCGCGACCGCTGAGCCTCGCTCCCCTCGGAGCCCACCCGCGGGAGGCTCTCCAACCCTGCGCCCTGGGCAGCTCCGCTTCCCTCACCCTCTTCCCAGTCCTGCTAGAGCGGAGCTGGCGCCCGTGGAGCCAGGCGCCGAGAGCACGACTTCCCGCTCCCGAGGGCCACGCGTCGGGTCTGGCACCTGGGTCCTCCCCGGTCCTGTGCCGCGCGGCGCCAGGAGTTCCCGGACCCCGGACCCCGGACCCCGCACGGGCGGTCGAAGACACCCCTTCCTTCCTCCTTGGAGATGGAAAGAGGCTTACGACGTTGGGGACTTGAGACCCCGCCAACGGTCTCTATGCCAAGAGTGGGACAAATTTTTTAAATGATAGAAGGCCAGAGAGTCACAGTAAAATAAATATAAATCCCGTGCCAAGACTCTTACTCATTCCGCAAGACTCAGGTCGAAAGCTGTCTATGCTGGGAGACCTCCTCTGTATTCGCGAACAGCTCCCTCTTTCCTCCCTTCCGCGTGGAGGGGCGCGCTGTCCTCACCGGCCGAGGCGGGCACCTGGAGCGCGCGGTCGCCTTTACCAAACTCCACCTTGCTCTGCCTGAAGATGGGCACCCGGCTTCCTTGCTCGTCTCGATCCCCAGCCTGGCGTGGCGCCCGTCGCCTATCAGGCGCTCAAGTGTTTTATGAATGAGTGGAAAATTAGTTTCTTTTGTAGGAAACCAGATTTTTCTTTTTACCCTCAAATACTACACACTCCTCTGGGTAAACAATCTGCTAGTCTCTGTAAAAAGCCAAGTCTCTCCCCTTTAATGGAGTAATTCCATTCTTGGGGAAATTTCCATAACAAATAATTCTTGTGCCGATGTTCCTAACAGGATCATTTATTACAGAAAATAATAATTAAAAAAGCAAACAAAGAAAAGCAAACAACGCCAAACTCTCAACAATAGGTAACTGGTTAAATAAATTAAGGTAGGGTAACTTAGGGTTATTATACCACCATTAAAATGATAAACATCAAGGTAAGAGTGTCTCAGAATGTTTTTAGACTAAGGAGAGAGCATTTGTTTATAAAGGAAAAAAGAGAGAATATGAAGCAATATGATAAAGTGAATAAGGTATTTACAAAATAGCATTAATCCAAAAAAAAAGTAAAAAATTAATGGTTACCACACTTAACTTCAAACAAAAAAATGCAGATTTCTTCTCTGTAAAATTGGGATTACACCTATATTGTGGGGTTCTTGGATTATTAAGTGAGATGTTAAAGGAACGTCCCTGAAACATAGTGGATACTCGGCAAAAATTTCCATTTTCTTATTTCAAAGGAATGCAGACTTATAGATAGGGTCTCAAATACGTCCTCATCATAGCCCAGCTCTGCCCATTTGACTTCCTCCAGCTCAAATGCAGGGTGGGAGAAGGAGTTGAACAAATGTTCAAGCACCACATTAAAATGAAGGGGAAGATCTAGTTAATAAGAATACATTCCAAGTCCTCCCTCAGACCCAAATGCCCAGCAACACAAGTTCACAGTGAGGGACTTGGTTCAGTAGTAGTGCATGTAAAAAAGGTTAGAGATTTTAGGTGGCTACGAGCACAGCGTGGTCAGTGCCCAAAGGATGAATTAGATCATCCCCAAAGCTGAATGATACTGGAGTGTTAGACCGAATTTATACTCTTTAACATTCAGTTTACAACCTGGGCATAACATCCAAATATCTTTTAGAAAGCATGGCATTGAAGAGTAATATTACGCCCATCTTAAAGGTAAAGAAACTGAAGTTGACAGTGGGTAAGGTGTATAGGATGGGGCCGCTAGGAGACAGAACAACCATGACCTCAATCTGATCAGTTTGACCAGAGCAAGGTGCTGGACCACTGCATTAGTGGCTCTCAATGTTTACACCGCCCGCTGGAGGAACAGGAGATGCTTTAATTTAGAGTGGCACACAGGCTGTGAGGTTAAACACCATCACATGGTGGAAAAGGCATGCTCAGTCCTCCTGAGCCTATGATTATGTCAAGGAAGAAGTATCATTTTGTGGGACTTTTTCTCTACACTTCTCAACATCTGTTAAATCTTTTTTAACAAAGAGAGGCTGACCTTCTGGCCAAGATGAAGGCATAGGTAGAGGTACTTTGCCCCCTCCCACAGCCAAAAGAAGGACAACAACAAATTTAAAAACAAAAAATAACCAGAATTGGCAGAAAATTGAACTGTATGGACATCTGACAACCAAGGAGTTAAATAAGAAACATTCTTCTTTAATGATAGGAGGGGCAGAGATGGGCAGCCAGGGTTGAGAGGACTTGCAGGAAGGTGGCAGCTGGTGGACCAGGAGGTCTCACATTTGCGTATGAACCAGGAGGATCAATGGAAGAGTGAGACAGACCATGCAACCCAGGGTTCCAGTGTGGGGAAATAAAGCCTCAAATCCTCTGACGAAAAATACTTGTGGAAGATGAGGTGACAGGAGAAACTCCCAGCCTCACAGGAGACTTCCTCGGAGAGATACACAGGGTCATAGAATGTACACAAACCACCTGGGAATCTGCACCAGAAGGGCCCAATTTGCTTTTGGTAGTGGAGGAAGTGACTGAAAGTACACAGAGGGCTGAGCAAGCACATCGTTTCCTCTCAGACCCCTGCCCCACACACAGCACCACAACTGTAGTGATGTGGGTTGCCCTGCCCTGGTGAATACCTAAGGCTCTGCCCCTTACTAGTAACATGTGCACCAAGGCAAAAAACAAAACAAAAAAAACAAATAAACAAAAAATGGCCCAGATGAAAGAACAGATCAAAGCTCCAGAAAAAATACAACTAAGTGATGAAGAGATAGCCAATCTATCAGATGCAGAATTCAAAACACTGATAATCAGGATGATCACAGAAGTGGCTGAGTATGATTGTAAAATAGAAGAAAAAGTAAAGGCTATAAAAAATGAAATAAAGGAAAATGTATAGGGAACCAACAATGAAGGGAAAGAAACCAGGACTGAAATCAAATGTTTGCAGTGGAAGAAAGAAATAAACATTCAAACAGAACAGAATAAAGAAATAGGAATTTTAAAAAGGGAGGAAAGGTTTAGGAACCTCTGGGACAACTTTAAATGTTCCAATATTTGAATCATAGGGGTACCAGAAGGAGAAGAGATAGAGCAAGTAATTGAAAATTTATGTGAAAACATAATGAAGGGGAACTTCCCCAATCTGGCAAAGGAAATAGACTTTCAGGAAGTCCAGGAAGCTCAGAGTCCCAAAAAAGTTGGACCCAAGGAGGCACACACCAAGGCACATCATAATTACATTAGCCAAGATTAAAGATAAGGAGAGAATCTTAAAAGCAGCAAGAGAAAAGTAGACAATTAACTACAAAGGAGTTCCCATAAGGCTATCAGCTGATTTCTCACAAGAAAACTTGTAGGCAAGAAGGGGCTGGAAAGAAGTATTTAAAGTCATGAAAGGCAAGGACCTACATCTAAGATTACTCTCTCCAGCAAAGCTATCATTTAGAACGGGACAGCAGATAAAGTGCTTCCCACATAAGGTCAAGTTCAAGAAGTGCATCCTCACCAAGCCCTTATTATATGAAATGTTAAAGGGGCTTATCAAAGAAAAAGAAGATAATCAAAAATACAAAGAGTAAAATGACAACAAACTCACAACTATCAACAACTGAACCTAAAACAAAAACTAACTAAGCAAACAACTAGAACAGGAATAGATTCACAGAAATAGAGATTATGTGGAGGGTTATCAGTGGGGGAGGGTGGTGGGAAGTGGGGAGAATGGGGGAAAAGGTACAGGGAATAAGGAGCAAAATAGTAGGTACAAAATAGACAGGGGGAGGTTAAGTGTAGTATGGGAAATGTAGAAGCCAAAGCACTTTTATGTACAACCCATGGAAATGAACTAAGGTGGGTGAATAATGATGGGAGGCGGTACAGGGCTGAGTGGAGTAAAGGGGAGAAAAAATGGGACAACTGTAATTGCATAATCAATAAAATATATTTAAAAAAGAACAAAGAGAGGCTGCCTCAGGCGCAGCCCTTTGCTAGGCAACACTTCCTAAGTAGAATTTAATATCATCATTTTCTCTTCCTTTTGATATTATTCCTTATGCTGGTAGGTTCCAAATGATACGGGCTTTCCACTTACAAGGTGATGTAGATTCCATTTAAGGTAAAATTACTTATCTATGAAAATTGGGTAATTCGAAAAAATGATGTTAGAAACTAATAACACCAGTGATATTTGGATATGATAAAAATGGTGCCGTGAACCATGTGGCTTGGTTGGGCCTTGTCCCACCAAGTGAAATGTGGCTGGTTCAATTCCTGGTCAGGGCGCAGGCCTCGTTTGCAGATTCAGTGCTCATCCAGGTGGCTATGATACAGGGTGCAGCCAGGGGGGCCCCCAAAAAAAAGATTTAGAAAGATGTCCAGAATTCAAAGTGTATAGGAATATTGGAGGGACATATAAGATGTCCTCACTGCCCCCCCCCCAAGGGATGAATGGAGCCAGGCCATTGAGAGCTAATTTGCATAGCAACAGTTTTGGAGCTAACCTCTGGAGGAATGGTTATTTAACATATCTATAACCTTTAACTGGTTTCATAGATATGTTAAATAGCAGTGGCCAAGTTTGGAGCCAGGAAGAAGGGAGTAGCAGGGACTGAGGATGGAACTTGGGGGACTCAAGATGGAAACTAGGAGCTGCTCTCCGGAGTGAGAGGGGCTTGGACTCAGAATGTAACTAGGGGCTGCGCTCCGGAGTGAGAGCGCCTGGGTGAGAGCTTGGAAAAGACTGGCTCCAAGAAATGAAGGGCCCCTGTTTGGCCAGGTGAAGAAGACAGCCACATGCTTTTGGTGGAGTGCGGACTCCTGCAGCTTTGGTAGAAGAGGCCCACGCGGCTTTGGGATGCCCCATTTGGCCGTGTGGCCTGGAAAGCAAGAGAGACTTTGACTGGAACTGGGTACAAAGGACTCTTGCCAGTGGACTGTGAGAGGGGACCACAGTACTTTGGATTAACTCGAGATCCTGCACAGTGACACAGCTGACGGTGCCAGCGGCCTGAAACACAGACGTGTGCTCTTTTCGTGATTTACGGTACCCGGAGTTGGGACAGTGGGAGAAGGGAGCGCTGTGTGGGTGTAGGTGTATACCCTAAAGGACTTTGATATTTTAGTGGTGGCATTAGGCCTGAATAGCATTAAATAAACATTTTGTTTCCTTTTCACAAATCTCTGGCATTGAGAGATGTCTTTCCAATTGGCGGCGGACAGAAGGGCCCAGTAGATTTCAGTATTTTGTTTTTGGGAGGGGCCCCTGTTGTATAGCAGTTTTGGGCATCCCTAGGTGGACCAAATATTGTATTGCCCCTCCCTCGGACCTCTTGTTGTTCGGTAACAGCTACACACAGCAACCTATCAATGTTTCTCTCTCACATTGATATTTCTCTCCCTCTCTATCTCCCTCTCTTCCCCTCTTTCTAAAAAAAATAAGTGAAACTTTTTTAGATGGCTAAATGGTGAAGGTGGCACACAGATGCCTGACATTTGCCCCCCACTGCATTATGTCTAGGGGAGGGAAGGTACAGTGAGGTGGGTTAAAGTTCTAAATGAATGAGAACTTTCTGACAATCGGAGCTGTCTAGCAGATGTTTAAAGGCTGCTTTAAATGTTAACTACATTCCCTTCACTCCAGAA